ACAAAATATGTAATAAATGTGAATAAGATGAATTGCTCGTATTTTTTTTTTATTAAAGATCTAGTTGTATAGAAATTCAAATAAATGATCCTCTTTCGCTCAAGACTTCATAATTCCTTCTCTCCCTTTTCTTTACGATCAACTAATTTACAAATTAAGACAATAAGAAGTTGTATGAACGAAAATGACATGTATGAGTTGTATGGGATAATCAAGCGGATGAGTGAATGCAAAGGGGGTTTCATGTTGGATTTAAGATTGGGAACGCATCCCTGTTATCGACTGTTTCCATATTAATAGATGAAAATTTCTTTACCCACAGAGACGGCCTCTCGATTAGTTCATGCGCGCCACCGCTATGAAATTCTGATTGAACAGTTCCCATAGGCCTGAGCAATCTCCCCTATTATCTCTGTGATGGCCACCTCATATTCACCAAAGAGGATTGGACAGAACCTCCAGGTACTTAGCCGGAATAGGTCACTAATTAGAAAAACGACCTTATGTNCCTATCTCTGCATTAGATTCTGCATTCATTATACTATTGATTATAATATGTTCGATTTTACATTTCTGACAATTATTACAAAATGCGAGGAGCTACCGTATTGAGAACCCCTTTCCGGTTATCGACAAATTTATACTCGGGCCCTACCATACCAANGAGCTACCGTATTGAGAACCCCTTTCCGGTTATCGACAAATTTATGCTCGGGCCCTACCATACCAAGAGTTCCGTACGCTCCATCGTAGTCCATGCGCCACCGCTACGAATTTTGCTGTTGAACACTTTACATTGGCCCTGGTCATCTCCCCTATAATCTCTGCTTTTTCCGCTATTATTAATAAACAATGGTCCTAGGCGACAATCTTTTTCACTCAAAAAATGATTGATCACATGTTCTAATTCGGTCTAAAGTTTCATGACTTTGGCTGCATTTTTTCCTTGAGTTTGCAGTTTTTTTTGGTGATTTCCATAAGATCGCGGGTTAAACGACACTTTTTCAAAAATTCATAATAAATTAACCATGCTCCCCAGCAGTCTGAAACTTTACACACGCCTTTTCCATCATTTAAAGAATACGTCAAAAAAACGAAAAAAATGGCTGCTTTTTTTCCAACCCTCCGGGCTCGCCCGATTATCCTTAAGCCACATTCGCCAGATAATACTTTTATCGCCTGATGACATAATATACTATTTCGGTACGCAAGTAAGTAGTGCAAGAAAAAAACTATTTTAAAAAAATGACTTGTTCCCTTACATTTTACTTCATTATTGTATAAGACTTTTACACGAATGAAAAAATCATGTGAATTTTTATAAATGGAAACGACATTTGTGAATATTAACTAATCAGGCTTGCTTGACGGTGCAGATACAGGTTCATTCTGCTCCTCTTCATCCCATACTTCAAATTCTGGTTGAGGCGTTTGATTTTGGGTTTCTGCTCCCTTTGAAGACTTCTTTTTCGGTTCCCACAAGCCACTTCGAACGAATCTCTGTGCTGCATCTCTATTGAGCCTCGGCATCTTCGTCTTCGTGTCTTTGATCTCTTGTGCCCGTACCATTGCCTTCTTCAGACGATTGTTCTCATTTTTTATTTCATGTGTCATTGGATCGATTCCTGAAAACATGTAGTAATTAACGAAAATTATTCTTCTGACTTGAGAAAATTGAATGAATTATTCATTAGGGTGGTACCTTCTGCTCTTAGATACATCCAGAACAAACTGTTAAGCCCAAAGGACATCAACAAATTGAATTTGATTTTGTCCTCATTCGAAAGATTCTCATAAAACTTCTCATCAGCAGCGCGCTTTAAAGTATCTCCAATTTTCTCACTTGCATCGCGAAATTGCTTAACTCTAACGATCAAATCAGCATCATTGGACAGTTCCTCAAAGTCGGGATCCATTATTTGCTCAAAAATCAGCAATGTCGAATAATTATTGAATTTTTTCGTTTTATCTCTAAATCCAGTAGCTGCAATCTCGTACAACTCTCAATCGTATTTTTTAACAAATACCTCATTTAATCAATTCAAGAATTAATATCATTGTCAACAGCATGTGTTTACCAATGTCCCAGATTATTATTATTATTATTATTACTATTATTATTAACTAGGTTCCCTCAAAACGCGGCCTCGCTTTTGCGGATGGGTCTAATACCTCATTTAATCAATTTAAGAATTAATATCATTGTTAAAAGCACGTGTTTGCCAATGTCCCAGCAGAGATAAGGGAGATTGCTCAGGCTTATGGGAACTGTTCAATTGGAGTTACATAGCGATGGCGCGCATGAACTAATCGAGAGGCCGGCTCTGTGGGTAAAGAAATTCTCGTCTATTATCATGGAAACAGTCGATAACAGGGAAGCGTGCCCAATCTTAAATCCAACATGAAACCTCCTTTGCATTCACTCATCCGCTTGATTATCCCATTTTCGTTCATACAACTTCTTATTGTCTTAATTTGTAAATTAGTTGATCATAAAGGAGAGGGAGAGAAGGAATTATGAAGTCTTGAGCGAAAGAGGATCATTTATTTGAATTTCTATACAACTAGATCTTTAATAAAAAAAANGATACAAAGGTAATGAATGAATTTCGAATTATTGTGATGAGAAATATATTCAATATTTGTGAGAGATTATATCTCAACGAATCTCATATACATAATGGGATTAAATCAATAATAATAGTTTAACGAATGAGACTTTTCGCAGTAGATTATTGCGAGATTTAAATGAATGGTTTGCCTTCTTCAGTGACCATAAAAAATTGTCT